ACGCCCGGTCTGTTTTATTTTGTTTTGATTTTGTTTTTCTACCAAGGTTACAGTATCAGGCATAGATTCCCCTCTGTGGAGCAGGCTTTTTAAAAAGCCAGGCATTGGTGGCTCACGCCTTTAATACCAGCACCTGGGAGGCAGAGACAGGTGGATCTCTGTGAATTCGAGACCAGCCTGGTCTACAGAGCAAGTTCCAGGACAGCCTCCAAAACAATACAGAGAAACCCTGTCTCGAGAAACCAAACCAAACAAACAACAACAAAAAAGTAACTTACAATTAGCTCAATGACTTTTTACCTATTCTTACACCTGTGTCACTACCAGGATCAGGTACAGAACGCTGCCCTTCTTCTGGTCTCAGGCCCTTCCCTAATTAGACCCCCTGCCCACTGCCCACTGCCCCGCAGGTGCTTGCTTGCCTTCCCTCATCTTCTATACTTTTAAATTAAGATAACTTTTTTTGAGACATGGTTTCACTATGTAGCTCTGGCTGGCCTTGAACCCCCAGAGATCTGCCTGTCTCTGCCTTTAGAGTGCTAGGATTGAAGGTAGGCACCACCCTACCCAGCTTGCCTGTTCTTGAACCCAAGATAAATTAGCTGTGGATCAATGCTCTTCTGTGTCCCCTGCCTTTGTCTTTCCCTCCCTCTCCCCCTTTCCTTTTAGTTTTGTTTGCACTGCTGAACCTCAAACTCAGGACCACAGGCATTCTAGGTAAGTACTTTATCTCAAGCCACGCCCCTTCTCTCTGCGTCTCATTTCTTTTGCTTGACGTTGTGTTTTTAAGATTTATTCGTCAGAGGCAGGCAGATTTCAGTGAATTTGAGGCCAGCCTGGTCTACAAAGTTTGTTCCAGGATAGCCGGCACTGCCAGTCTCAAAACACCAAAAAAAATTATTTATACTATTGAGGGCCATCTGAGCTCACTGATTTTTGTTGTGCTGCAAACCAGAGCACACTTATTTTTTAAAGATTTATTTATTTATTACATATACAGTGTTCTGCCTACATGCCAGAAGAGGGCACCAGACAGATTGAATTGTAGATGGTTGTGAGCCACCATGTGGTTGCTGGGAATTGAACTCAGGACCCCTGAAAGAGAAGTCAGTGCTCTTAGCCTCTGAGCCATCTCTCCACTCCCCTGTGCACCGCTGTTTGATGTCTACTGAGTTTTGGCTGTTACCCATGTGGCTGGGGTGTACGTCTTTGCACATGGATTTTTGGCACATACAAGCACTCGTGTCTTCTAAGGTATATACCCGGGAGTAGAACCACCTAGTTACGTGGTCAGCATACGATTAGTTTTAGAAGCATCTGCCAAGAGGTTCTCCAGCATCTTCACTCCAATGTCTGTTCCCACAGCAGCTTATGAGTTGCTCACTGTGTTTGCAGAGGCTTAATTTTAGCTGTATCTGGTCAAACTAGACACTTTGCATTGTTTGCATCTGACTGTAAGCATGCATGTCCAACATCTTTTCATAAACTTGTTGGCTGTTGGTGATTACCTTTGTGCTAAGTGCCCATTTAATTCCTTACCTTTTTCCTGTTGTGCATCTGAGACCTTTTAACGATGGTGTTGTGAAATTGCATCTCGCTTGTCCCAGGAGTTAAGAAAGGGTTCAGATTTATGCAGAGTGTGATGAGAGTGGAAAGGACTCACCATGGATCTACCCCTCCCTGAAGCTTATGGCCTCTCTCCTCCCAGAATCTAGCACATGATTAGGTCCAAGGCAAGAACCCCGTCAAAGTTAATCAAAGAGGAGGACATAAGAGTTTTTTGTTGAGACTTCGATTAGCTCTGTTCTGCAAGCCAATTCCCAAACAACAACCCAGAGACTGATTATTGATTATAAATGCTCAGCTGATGGCTTAGGCATGTTACTAACTAGCTCTTACAACTTAAATGAACCCATATTTCTTATCTACTCTCTGCCACTAGGCGGTACCTTCCTTCAGCATGGCATGCTTATCCTGCTTTTCTCCCTATCTCCTCGTGACACCCTAGACTCCACCCTTCTTCTTCTGAGCATTTTCTCTGCCTGGAAAATCCTGCCCAGCCATCAGTCAATCAGCTTTTTCTTAACAATGAGAGCAGCAGGGGGTGAACCTTGTTTTGAGGGTTTTGCTACTGTGGACTTTAAAACAAATGATACATTCATTGCTTTTCTTTTCTTTTTTAGATTTATTTATCATGTATACAGTGTTCCACTTACATGTAATCCTGCAGGCCAGAAGAGGGCATCAGATTTCACTATAGATGGTTGTGAGCCACCATGTGGTTGCTGGGAATTGAACTCAGGACCCCTGGAAGAGCAGCCAGTGCTCTTAATCTCTGAGCTATCTCTCCAGCCCCATTCAGTGCTTTTCTTCCATCCCCCAAACCTGAGACCTCTCTAATTCTGGGCAAGTGGTCAATTGGTATTCTTTGGTCACCGACGCATGGACCCAGTCCTGTCTCAGTGTTGCTGACCACATGCTGGTCTCATGAAACTTCACCCCCGCAATGGTGTCCTCCCCATCCCTCAGGGATTGCATCACTATTTATACTTGGAGATTTGCATCCAGAACCTGAGCTTGCCCGGACCAGGACCCACTAGACTCAGCAGAGTCCCCAGAGACCACAGTCCACCTCCATAGTCCAGCCCTCTCCAGAGCACTCACTGCCCCAGGATGATTTTGATGGCCTTTGTTGGCATCCTTTTTCTCCTTATTATGGAAAACATAACGTGTCTGCTCCCAGGTAGGGCAATGGGACCCCAGCCTTCTTGCAAAGTCAAGAATTCATTCAGGCCCAGCGTGGTGGTGTATACCTGTAATCTCAGCACTTTGGAGGCAGAGGCAGAAAGATTACCTATTTGAGGCCAGCGTGGGCTACATAGTGAACACTGTGTCAAACAAACCAAAGCAAACCATAAGCAAAACAAGACAATTCTGTAACTAATTTTCCTATGGTCCCAATTCCAAACATCCTTTGTGGACTCGTGTACCAAGTTCCTTGTCCTCAGCTGATGGCTCTGTTTTAGGAAGTGGAAGAAAACTTAGGAGCAGGGCCTAGCTAGAGGAAGTGGGTCACTGAGGGCGGGGGAAGGACTGTTTTCAAAGGCTATGCCTAGACCCTCGTCTCTTCATCTCTTTCTTTTCTACCATGAGGTAAACAACCTCCTCTGCCATGATGTTTAACTTCACCTTAGGCCCCTATCATAAAGCCAGCTGAAAATGAACCAAGCAAATTCTTTCTCCTTAAAATTTTTTTTGGCTGGGCCTTTAACCCCAGCACTCGGGAGGCAGAAGCAGGCGGATCTCTGTGAGTTCGAGACCAGCCTGGACTACCAAGCGAGTTCCAGGACAGCCTCCAAAGCCACAGAGAAACCCTGTCTCGAAAAACCAAAAATAATTTTTTTGGACTTATTTATAATAAGTGTAAGAGTGTTTGCCTGTGTGTGCACCATGTGCTTATAGTGTCTGTGGAGGCCACAAGAGGGCATCATATCCTCTGGGACTGGAGTTACAGAAGATTGTAAGCCACCATGAGGGGGCTGGGAATTGAACTCAGGCCCTTTGGAAGAACAACTAGGCTCTTAAGCACTGAGCCATTGCTCCATGCCAAGTTCCCTCTCCTTTGAAGTTGTTTTGTCTAATATTTTGTTCAGTGATATCTAGTACTGAGGCCAAGCCAAGACTAACCTTGTGTTTGAGACTCAGAGTAGCTTTTTTATTCTTCCTGAGACAGGGTTTCTCTGTTTAGCTTTGGCTGTCCTGGAACTTGCTCTGTAGACCAGGCTGGCCTTGAACTCACAGAGATCTGCTTGCCTCTGCCTCCTGAGTGCTGGGACTAAAGACGTGTGCCACCACCGGCTGGCTCAGAGTAGCTTTTTTCATCCCACTGATCCCTGGATACTGTGAGGCCTGAGAAGTGTTTGTGAACTGAGTGAGTCAATAAATAATTTAGATGGATCCATCTCTCAATCAAGCAAGCCACTTCTCACTCCTGCAACCTTGTGCCAAAGGAGAAAGTGGGAACATCTTTTAGTGCTTTTCTCAGAGGTCCCGATGTCTACTGTACTTGATGACTCCATAGACGCCCAACACCCCTCCATGTGTTTTCATATCATGAGTTGCCTGAAAGAAGATCCCATTTCTGCATTGATGATGCATCCTGTGAGAATCCAAAGTTAGGACAAGAGCATGCTCAGCATAGGGTTCTGGAGTCTTCCTCCAAATAAATCAGTTGCTTACATTAGTCATTTCTTCTTGGATGTATTGTTTGTGATGGATCTCCTGGGTGGTCCTCATTGTGTTAGCCCTGCAGGCTATGCCGCTGGAGGGTTCAGACAGGAGGTGGTTGCGTTTTTTTTCATCCAAGTTTATCTTCCTGGTACTTTGTACTCATCTTTTTCTGTCACAGGAGCTTTTCTCACAAGTTTAAACCACCTAAGACCTCACAGGTGGCTGTTAAACCAGAACCAGTCCAATGTTCAGTGTCTGCTTGTGCTAGGTTGTAATTCCAAATACCACCTGTAGGTGTCTCCCTCTGACTCCAGAAAATTTTAATTTGTATGTGATAAAGACAACTTTGTGAACTCCAAGCTACCCAGGAAGTTGGGCATGAATGCACATGCCTTTTATCTCAGCACTCGGGGCAGAGTCAGGAGGATCTCCGTGAGTTTGAGGCCAGACTTGTCTACATAGTGAGCTTAAAAAGAATCTCCTGTGAGCAGTTAACTGTATGTAAAGATTTTCAGACCAGCACTCACAATTGAGTGCTGACATTTGGCAATGGTAGAAATGTTCAATTATCTATAAAAACAGTAGACATTAACTACACCTGGTTGCTGAGGCGTTGAGCTGTGTCTAATGCTTCTGGGGAACTGAGTTTTACATTTTGATTATAAGTAATTTGAGCATTTATGGGTGTCTAGTCAATGTTTACTGTATCAGGTAGTTAGCCTTGTTCTCGTCTTTTTGTCTATCATTTCAGCAAAGGATAACCAGAAGAAGAAATTCAAAACAGCAACTGACAGGACGTCTGCTCCCAATGTCAGAGTGGGTCACTGTGTGACTGTGATGATCTGGGGGCCACTGGATAGCTGCTGTAACTTTAAGAAGTGAGCCTCAGTTTCTCCATTTGTAAACTGGAGATAATAGTTGTTAAGGTAGAAGCTTCACCCCAGCTCCTGGCATCCATATACCCAAAGAGTCTGGGATGTTATGGTGGAAATTCCACCCAAGCCCACCTCCCCCATCTTCCCCTAAACCCTGCTGCATCTCAGAAAGCCCACCAAATGATGGCCCCTCCCCCAGAGATGCTCAAGACCACTCCTACAGTGTATTTAAACTGTCACTCCAAAAACAGACTCATGGTTGTTCCAGCCTCCCTTTCCTGTCTCCTCTCTGGGGAGCTGGAAGGCCATGCGGGAGCTCTGTATCCATTGAACGTGGCTTTTTTGATTTCAGTTTGATCTGGTCTGATTTGGATTGCTGCATTGGTGGAGATGCTTATCCAGGTGCAAAACTTTTCAGTACTAGCAACTTCAGGAGCCCATTGTAGTCTGGATATGGTGGCACAATCTGTACTCTCAGCACTGGAAAGCTGAGGCAGGAGGATAGCTAGTTTGAGGCCAGCCTGAGCTACATAGTAAGAGCCTGCCTCAAACAAATCAAAACAGCTTATTTTTGCAGAGTTAAGTACCACTCAGCTAGCCTGTTCAAGGTCAAGAAAGCAAGCAGATTAGTAAGGGGTCAACTAGGAGTCAATCTTTGTGTTATCTTCATTAACACAAGGTTCAAAATCAAAGAGACTCACAGAAAAACACAAGAATAGAAGAAAAACTGTCCCCATTATTCCCATTATTCACCCAGAGTTCCCAGATAGTAACATTTTCACCACATTTGTCTTGTTGTTTTATTTCTACTCGGGTATATCTGTATATGTACATGCTTTTCCCAAATCAAGTGAGAATAAATTACAGATATGATGATGCCCTTGACCCCTACCCCAAAGCTTCATTGTATAATTCCTGAAGAGAAAGTGTCACTCTAATCATAGCCTTGGTGCAGTTTCCTGGGTCAGGCAACTGACATGAGTTGACACAATTATCTAGTTGTGATTAGATGTCACCAACGGTTCCAGTAATGTCCTTTACAGCAAAAACAATATCCCAGTCCTCTGCTCCATTCCATTCAGTGGTCCTGTTTCTAGTCCTCCAGTCCAGTCAGGTCTTTCATGACGTTGGTATTGGTGACAATGCAGTCTTGTATCATGTCCCTTACAGTCTGGGTGACCTCAGGTCGCATACACCTGACAATACTAGGAAAATAACTTCCCATTATTCTATCAGCAGGGACAGGAGATCAGTTTCCTGGTCCAGTAGAACAAAATCGGATGATAAATATTCCAGGTAAGAAGGAAAGATCTAGACGCATCTAAGGAGCCTGGTTTAGTTCACATGAAGCACTGCAATTAGCTTAGAGTTTCCAGGGCTGAAGGCAGAGGACCAGAAGCAGAGAGACAGAGAGAGAGAGAGAGAGAGAGAGAGAGAGAGAGAGAGAGAGAGAGAGAGAGAGAGAGAGAGAGAGAGAGAGAGAGAGAGAGAGAGAGAGAGAGAGAGAGAGAGAGAGAGAGAGAGAGAGAGAGAGAGAGAGAGAGAGAGAGAGAGAGAGAGAGAGAGAGAGAGAGAGAGAGAGAGAGAGAGAGCGCTGCAGGGAGAATAATGGGTAATGCTGGAGCCCAGAGTGAGCGGAGGCCAAGAAAAGTGCTGAAGATGACAGGGCAAGCTTTTAAACTGCTTACTTAAAAAACTCTCATTTGTTTCTGACACTTAGAAAAAAAATAGAAGGTACCCACCGTGGAAAATACAAAAGGAATAAAGGAGAAAATGCCAACTGGAGGCTGCAGCCGCAGCAGCCCTGTTACTCTTGTGGGCACACACCTTCCCAGCATCCAGAAAGCCTTTTCCAAACTGGGAAACAATGAGGAAAAGCCACGCCTTCCCTTGGGAACAGTGATGTCAGCTAGCAGAGGCTAGCCCGAGGGCAGCATGAGCTTCTGACGGCTGCATCTGTATGCTGGGAGGGCCAAGTGACTGGACACCTCAGAGAACTCAGAGATGCTGTGCTCTGTTTGTGGAACTCTCAGACTGCTTCCATATGTTTGGAGCTGAGAGGCATTTACGGATTTATTTATTTTTTGGTTTTACAAGACAGGGTTCCTCTGTGTAACAGTCCTGGGCTGTCCTGGAACTCGCTTTGTAGGTCAGACTGGCCTCAAACTAACTGAGATCCCCCTGCCTCTGCCTCCCGAGTGCTGGAGAGACGAAGGAGAGGGGAATGGGCGGTTGGGAGTGGCATGCAGGCTAGGGGCAGGCCAGGAAAACCCTTCTTGAGGGTAGAGCTGTAGGGGACAGGAGCAGCCCAGGAGCAGGTTTTGTCAAGTTGCTGTCCTCAAAGTCTGTGCAGCCCTAGGGGCAGGCTTGGGGACATCCTTGGGTTTGTAGGACTGAGTACAGGCAACTGTAGCAACTGGGAGAATTGGGTACCCAGAGTAGGTCTGCCTGACTTTCAAGATCCAGTTCACCCTAGGGTGGGGAACCCAGGGCAGGGTGGGTGGGGTGGCTGAGAGGCAGCTCTCTGGAACAAGGCCTAGTGGTCCTCCTAGCATTTTTACGGCGTATTAAATTGTGCACACAAACTGCGTGATGTCTTCAAAACTGCCCCAGCAAATCCTCCATTAGCGGATTATCCTCATCTCTGAAGACAGAGGAGGAAAGAATACCAGGTAAATGAGATGGCAGATGGAGTCTGTGCCTTGCCCATGTCCTCAGCCACCTGGAGGTAACTTCTGACCTTGGCTCTATGGGGCCCACACCTTGTGTGGCTCTGTGTGGTATTGTGTGTGCGTGTGCGTGCGTGCGTGTGCACCTTGCAAAACTGAAACTCTACACCATATGGAACAACTTCTTATTTCCTTCTCGTAGAGGCCCTGGTGGCCACACCCTATTTTCTGTCTCTATATATTTGACTGTTCTAGGAACTTTGTATAAATGGCATCATGCAGGTTTGTTCTTCCGTGACTGGCATTTAGCATAATGTCTTGAAATCCCTTCCCTGTTATAGAATGTATCTGGATTTCCCTTTTCTGCTTTTTGTTTCCAAAGAGGATTTTACCGTGTACCCAGTCTGCCTTGGAGCTCACTGTGGCCCCAAGCCTGGCTTTGAACTCTGGTCCTCTTGCCTGAGTGCTGGGATTGTAGGTGTGTGCTGCTACTCCTGGTTGAATCTCATTCTATTCATGGCTAAAAATCTTCCAGTGTTTCATATTGACCACCTTTACTGTTCATCTTCGGGTGGATATTTAGTTTCCTTTCACCTGTCAGCTGCTGTGGCTAATGCCATAATAAACAAGTGTATGCAAATATCTTTTCAAGAGTCGTTTGGAATATATTCCTTTTTTTTTTTTTTTTTTTTTTTGGTTTTTCGAGACAGGGTTTCTCTGTGGCTTTGGAGGCTGTTCTGGAACTCGCTCTGTAGACCAGGCTGGCCTCGAACTCACAGAAATCCGCCTGCCTCTGCCTCCCGAGTGCTGGGGTTAAAGGCGTGCGCCACCAACGCCCGGCTATATTCCTGTTTCTTAGTTTCTTTGGGCAGCTACAACATAAAGCTTTGGGCCAGGGATTTTTTTTTCTTTTTAAAAATTAATTAACTTAAAAATTTAATTTCACATTCCAACCAAAGTTCTCTGTCCCGCCCTTCCATCTACCCCCTCACCTCCCCCATCCACTCCTACCAACACATAAGGGCTCTCATGGGGAGTCAACACAGTTTGGCACATTATGGACTAGGGAGTTATTTTTTTTAAGTTTTATCTTTTTAATTAAAAAATATATCTGGTGTTATGGTGCATGCCTTTAATCCCAGCACTCAGGAGACAGAGGCAGGCAGGTCTCTGTGAGTTCAAAGCCATCCCAGTCTACATAGCAAATTCCAGGCTAACTAGAGATACACAGTGAGACCCTATCTCAAAAAACAAAAACAAAACCCCCAAAGATTTCTTTATTTGTATGGGTGCTTTTTCTGCATGTATGAATGTGTGCTGCATGAATGCCGGGTACCTGTGGAGGTTGCAGAGGCCATTGGATTCACTGGACTGTAACACGATTAAATAAATAACCTAGAGAAGATATTGGGGTTCAAGCTTCAATCAGAAAAACAAAGTAGCAGGCCACTAGCTCTTACTACCACCTCAGACTGAAAGGGCTGATCGTGCTGCCTCTCCTCAGTATGACTGTAGAATTCTGAGACTTCAACGTCTTCCTATTCTCAATGTGGCTGAAGAATAAATGCCTGACACTGAGACCTTTCTCCTGTCTTATATACTTCCCTAATTCTGGGATTAAAGACACGTGATCCCAGGTGCTGAGATCATCTTTGTGTGAACGGTTTCTCTTTAGGATTGGATCAATCTCGTGTAGATCTGGGTGGCCTTGGACTCATAGAAATCTGTCTACCTCTTAATCCTGAGTCCTATGATTAAAGGTGTGTACCACCACCTCCTAACTTCTGGGGCCTGGGACAAAAGGTATGTGCCTGGCTTTTAAGCCTTGTGGCTGACTTTGCTTTTCTGAATCCTCAGGCAAGCTTTAATAAATAATATATCACCACACTGGAGCTGGAATCACAGGCATTTATGAGTTGTCATGTGAATGCTGGGAACTGAACCTAGGTCCTCTGCAAGAACAGCAAGTGCTCTTAACCACTGAGCAATCTCTCCAACCTGGACTGGGTAATTTTAAGTGATAAAGATTTATTTCCCATAGTCTGGAGGCTGGGAAATCTACATTGAGGCTCAGCATTTAGTGCCTGGTGAGGGCTTTCTCAGAGTCCTCTGGGAGGAAGGGCACTGTGTTCTGATGCTGAGGCTGACCGAAGGGCGAGTGGGCTAAACGTTACTGCATGAGTCCTTAGAAGGTGCTAATCCCACTCACGGGAAGCCTTCCGGTCTCTTACCTCCACCTCCCAATCACACTGGCCTGACCTGAAATTTGGAGGACAGGTATTCAAACCATGGCAACCTACAAATGTGATTGTTGGATTATATGCTGTATTATCTTCAAAATTTTTAGCAACTTCTCTTACTGTTTTCCAGAGTGACTACTGAATTTTACTGAGACAATTTTGAGATGTGTTCTGCAGTCTCCTCCAGGAGGTCCCCAGTGGTAGTCTCATCATGAACCCTTTCTTCCTATTGGTGCCTTCTCTGGTCTCTCACATCTCCACCCCTTCCTGTTGACTTCCTGGACTCACCACCCAAATTCACTGCAAGTATCAAGTCTTCATCGTGGTCTTTTCTGACCGGAACGTGAGTTAAGGCCTGCCACTTGCTTCAGATGGTGGAGTTCCTAGGTGGCTCTTCTGAGATCTATTGCTGTATAATGAATTGCCACAGACTGGGTTTGGCTGGATGGCATCTTATAGAAGCATCTGCAGGCTCCACTGTGTTGATCTGTAAAACAACTAGGAGTTCAAAGGCAAAAGGCAGGACAGGAGTCTGCTAAAGGATTTTTCTGGAACGGGGTCGGTCACCTCTACCACATTCTAGTAAAAAAAGCACTTTCAGGCTCTCTAGATACAGGAGAGATGGAGAAATGAATCACATTGTGGTTTGAATATGAGATGTCCCCACAAGCTCTTGTCCCCAGAGAGTGGGAGAAAATTCAAGATGCAGGGGACTAGTTGGGGAAATAGGCCACTGGGGGCAGGTTCATAGGGTCATATCTTGCCCTTTGTCCCCTCCGGTGTCTCTCTGTGCTGTCTGGTTGGCCTTTGAGCAGATTCTTGCCACCTCGGAACTCTGTTTCAGCACTGGTCCACAGTGATGGGGCAAGCTGGCCCTGTACTGAAGGCAGGGGCTCAGATATCAGACTTCGGAAGAGCATATGAGACAGGATATTTTTGTGGGCCTCAGGGTCAGGACACAAACCTAGGAGTCAATATGATTTGAGAAATCCTAGTTGTAGCCTCTATCTTGTCCCTACTGAGGACAAATAAGGAACTCTAGTCATTTCTAGGGTACCTGTCCCTGAAAATAATGGCAAACTTGAGGGATCACTTGAAGCCTCAAGTGATCCCAAAATGTAGAGTCAGCAGCCTTGACAGGGACTTGGAAAGCACCACTTAAGGTGTTTGAGGAAATTAGAAACAACTCCAGTGGGGCCAGCAAGACCGCCTAGCAGTGAAGGTACTTACCTTTACCAACCCTGTTGACCTCAGTCTGACCACTGGAAGGCACACTGGGGTAGGAGAGAACTGTCTCCCTAACGTTGTCCTCTGACTTCCACATGTGTGTTGTCAAGGCTAGCCTAGGTAACTTAGTGAGACCCTGTCTCAAAAGAAAAAGTAAAAT